GATCATGTGATATTAATGAGAACCTATTTTCGTGTTCTTTTGTGATCCCATGGCAAGCACTGGTGCTACTCATATATAACTGTTGCTGCATGCTATAAGATCACTTAACTGGGATAACAAGTTCGCATAGTATTCTCCCAGTATACTAGAAGTTATCTTGTCCAACTTTAGTATGTGTTGAACTAGAGTCCAGGTAGCGCACTCAAATTCAACTGAGTCGAACTTTGGGGTTTGTCTAACTACAGTACGTGTCTAACTAAAGTTTTCTGATAATTCCAGCTATAAAATTCAATTAAATTACCCTTATATGAGCTTTTACAATTAGATGGGCAGAATGACTGGGGTTAGTTGAGCTGGCCATGGGCATAATTGAGGCAGGGTATTCAATATTGTAACTTAACAACCTTTGATCGCAACACTATGTGTATATAAGCTAATATGCAAATTATATTATCTAATCGCAACTTAAGTGAGTCAATTTCAATCTGTTAAGAGATTGCAAGTGTTTCACTTGTTTATATATATATATATATATATATAATAAGCACCTTCTCAACCTTGATCCGGCCTTGAAGAAGCTGGTACGTGCGGACAGTGTATTCGTGAGTCATCGAAAGAATCAAACTATCGGTGGCATGCTTGTACACAATAAGTACCGTGCCAGTGGAACTTTAAACTGTGATAATGAGAGAGAAACAACTGCAAGTCAGATCCAGGAACCAGACTCCGAAAGTCTAAGGGCGGTTCCCGGGGCTGTCGACCCAGGGTGCCATGCTTGTGGTAAATGCTATGTTTGTAAGCAAAATTTCCTGTCCCCCTGTTCCAACTTTAGTAGTCACCATTCTAAACAAGTTTTCCCTATAACTAAGTATATATCTTGTCAGAGTTATAACCTCATTTATTTAATGGAGTGTAAGACTTGTAAACAGTCGTATGTCGGTTATACTACCTCAAATCTCCCTAAGAGATTCTCTAACCATAAGAGTCACATAAAGAAAGGTATAAGAAGTTGTAAATTAGTTAACCATTTTTTAGATATTGATCATGATTTAGATTTGAGTACCATAGCCTCCTATAATTCCTCACTTAGTAAGCACCTTTCTGTCATTATAGTAGACGCTTTAGTATTTGAGCCTAATATTAGTAAAGCAGACAAAGAAAAGGCTATGGAAGCTACAGAGGGGTTCTACCAGACCCAATTGAAAACCCTTGAACGGTTTGGGGGTATGAACACCCTTGATAGTAACCATATACTTTTTAAATCTGCCGGAGCTTAGTTTTAGTTTTAGTATATTTTGTAGATTTTATTTAGTTATACCATTATTCCAGAGACTTAAGTATAAATTTTACAGGTTTTTTGTTGTGATTTTAAGTGATTTTCCGAGAATCAGTTATCAGTATTTAGATAAGAGATAAGATAAGAGTACATTTTTAACGGCTTTCAGTTTCTTTTTTAAATTTCAGTTCATCAGATTTTCCCACTGCTTTTAGTTTGTATTTATTCTCAATTGTATATGATTCGTATTTGTTGTAGTTACTTTAGTGAAAGAGCTGGTGACCTAGTGAAAGTGCTGGTGACGATGAGAAAGACCATAAACCAGGGATTCCTTCGGGAGCATGTAAGATTATATCCAAAGTTTGTTCGCCAATGGGGTGTGTCTGGGTGTCAAAGATCTTCAAGGTGGGTGCTACTTGTGATGAACTCTAGAAGGATGGGATGGTAATACTCGGTCTGGCCGTCTGGAAGCCCATAGAATTCCAGTTCAGAAACCGAGTAAGGAGGTGCGGCTACTGATGAGAAGCCTCCTTAAAGTTTATTTGGGTTAGAAACGACATCTGGGTCCCTACCCTCGCACAAGATTATTCTCAATTTTCTTGTTGTGTCCACAACTATATAATTTCTCAGAATTGATGTAAATAAACGATGCAAAGACTTTCGAAGATCTAATCACAACCGCTTTCTTTTATTGTGTAGAAGTCCAGCCATGAAATATATATATATAGATACAAGTTGAAACGACCAGTTAATTCAAACAATTGTTTCAATCATGAAAGCATGATATCATCAGTTGTCACTGATGATATCATGCTTTCATGATAGAAACAATTGTTTGACTAAACCAGTCGTTTCAATTTGTATCTAGCTCTCGGCTTGCCAATTGAGCACTGTCAGCAGACGACGCCACCCACAATTAATATAATTTATGGATATTATATATCACAACAATCTGTCTAAAAATTTGGTCAACTTCTAGATGCCCTGAAAAATTTCGGATTGCTGACTCAATATTATGGTTTTTTAGGCACCTGAATATGGCAATTATGGGTTTTTTTACAGAATTTGATTTTACAGAATTTTAATATTACTAAGTATACTGGCGTGTACTTAGCACAAAAACAGCTTCCACCTGTGTTGGTAACTGCTAAAACATAATTACGTATAAGTTTAATATTTTCATGAACGAATAATTTTATATGAATGAATCAGTAACTATATTATAATATAACTTTATTCAAATCAAAAATAGAACATACGTAAATTAATATCTTAAAGATCTGATAAGTAGCCAGAAAAAAAAAGAAATACGGATACATAAACTAAAACAATTTCTTCCATCCCGCTCTATCAGAGGCTAAAAATCTTAAACTGTACAAATCGTCTGTATTTACAAATGGAATGTTCCTACTACCTAAATCAAATTTTATAGTCCTGAGCAAGTTCGACTGGTGTCTGCCTACTCTACCCTTTTTAGTACTCTGACTCTCTACTGCAAAGTGTAATGTAAGCTGTGCAGTCGAGTTGTTATCACTGCGAAGGATGTCCGAGCATCCTCCATCGTGCACATGCAACACGCTCACTGAGTGGAACCACTTCACATCTCTTGTAAAGGGTGTCGTTTTTTATTATATTAGGAGTCATTCTGATTATTTGCCTCAGATGCTTTCTGTGGCAAATATCCAGTTTATTCACTAGCTGCTTTGAAGCAGCCAAGCAGCTACAATTGTACATTAAGACGGTAACTATAACCGGATCTTTATAATATGCAGTCCTTATCAACCTGCTAGTGATGTGACCTAAATAATTATGTATTGCAAGTCAATGATCAGATCACCATGAGCTTGTAAGAGATACAAGAATTGCTGGGATTGCAAGGATTGTAAGGATTTCAAGGATTGCAAGGATTGCAAGGATTGCAAGGATTACAAATTAGAAGTTTTATATTATCACAAAAATGCTGACAATTACGTAAAAGTTTGGAAACGTGCGACGATCCGTGTAAATGGGCCTGGTTTTCACTGGGGACCAAATTTGTAAAATGGTAAAATTTCTAACCGATGTGCACTGATGTGTAGAGTGTAGACGGGTGAGGTTGACTCTATCGAAATATTTGGACCTTGTCAAGATAATTTTCCGTGGAGAGCTCATGTTTCACTTTTCCGTAGAATTGTAGTTTATAATATTATAATAATAGTGTTGAAAGTATCTAACAATTGTATGCTTTATTGAAGGTATCAAATAACGACATACCATAATATGGCCGAATATCAGGCATTTGATTTGTTGACGACTTGTTATTGTTCCCACCTTAGCATGTAATTTACACCCGTCATAATATAAACGTTCTGCTGATATTTCAACAAAACAACACTTCTTTAGGCCAATAACAAGTAACAACGCTAAACTTGTTGTAGAATGTTCACTAGGCCGGTCCATATTTTCAAAATTGGTCACAAGGTATTTCCAAATATTCTTAATACCCAGGATCGTCGGAATGAGTACTCTTGAACTTGATGTTCAGTGTTGTGTAACTTTTGTTTCCATAATCATACTTCGTTTCCAGGTCCACCCCACATGGAATGCGATGTTGTTTTGTTAGATCTTTTTCTTGCAGTTGGAAAAGTTAGACGTACTTCTTAAACCCTCGAAAGTTTAGTTAATATCAATTGGTATTTAGCTTACTTGAGTTGAGATTGCTAAGTTATGGTGAAGTTTTTTAATGTGTTTATTCAATGAGCTATTTATGATATTTGTTGGTTAGTAATCTATTGTAGCAGCTCCTTGGCATTTGGACGAATAACACGTCGTACTTACTAATGATAAAAATGAATGTCGAATAATAAAATAAAATTATATAAATAATAATAATTCTAGGTGGCAACATATCATTGCTCACACACAAACACATCATTAGTTACTTATCATTATTATTTGTTCCATAGCAGTTTTGAAAGTATTAAGTCGTATAAATAGTCGTATTCATCATACTTGACACGGTTATATTAGCAAATGGACAAATGAGCAAAATGTAACTCAGTGACTAGTACTTTGTTGTTCTAAAGAATATTTTATTTCTTTATTTTCTTCGTCAATTGGTTAATTTATCGATTTTTTAAAGCTGTCGCCGTTTAGAACATACTGTGCAGGTAAAAGTTTCTGCATATATCTGTGTTTTGGCAGCCGTCCATAGTTATTTAAAGATGATATTATCAATTCAAATTGTAACTTTACTTTCGATCTATTTGACGGCCACTGATATTTTTCATAATCGCACCAGATATTTTTCTTTGTTTTCTAACAATACAATGCTAACCTAATTATGATTTACCTATGCAGTAATGGGAGAGAGAGCGAGTAGGGAGAAAAAGTGAGCCATTTTATGTCACATTTGTGATACAAAACCATCAATTAAACCTTACCACCAGCCGATTGAAAAAAAATTGCTTATTGGCTTCCTCAGAGTTTTCTCGGCACTATACCGAAAAAACCAGTCCCATAACTCTTACCGTTATCTTAATTAAGCCACTCGGAAATTTCCCACACACACACACACACACACGCACACACACACACAGATTTATTGGGATTATTAGTATTGATAATGCGTAGTTATTCATGTTTGAACTGATTTCCCATATTATAATTCTGCTATTATATTTAAGATTGTCAAGTTTTTATACATTTTAAAGTTATTTACTGATACTGCACTGTATGCAGCTATGACTACAAACAGAAAAATAATGAGAAACGCAGTGTTCACCATCACTCTGGCTGGATTGTTCGTTGGGTCCCTCTCGCTATGTGGGGAGTGTGATAACTCGTTGTGTCCTGATAATGGTTCTTGCAATGTTACCACACTTGATGAATGTGGCTGCTGTAATGTCTGTGTCAGGTTAGATTTACAGAATACCTACAAAATAATTTATTAAAATAATTAATAAGTAAAAGTAATAAGAAATAATTTCTGGGGAAACTTTTATGAAAACCCTTACAATGATATAACAGGATTTTGTACGTTTTCTACATATTTAACGTATGATATTTTATCTTTGTCCATTTTAATTAATGCCCACTGTCTAATACTATCTGATATTAATTAATGCTGTCTGATTTTATAGTCTATTTATTATTATTATATTTAAAGTTATATATTATTATTTATTTATAGTCTATTTATTGAGAATATTATTTCAGAGGTATTAATGAGAAGTGTGGCGGTGCCTACGGTAAATACGGAGTATGTCAGCGTGGATTAGAGTGTGTTGAGGAAGCTGAGGAGATTGCTTTTGTTGGCATCTGCAAAGGTATTTACTAATCACTATCCAACATACAGCATTATTATATCCCACCTCCTACTCTACCAGATTTATTTTGATTGTTCAAACTTACTTTTATCAGAGATAATTTTGGGTAAACCTTGATGCCACTTTTAATGATAAAATAATGATTATTGATGAAATAGTTCAGATACGTGTAATAACCTAATCAAGTTATCCGCCATATCCGCCATATCAATAATTTACATTCCATTCCTTGATGTAACCTTAAGTGAAAAAAAAACAATTATTGATAAAATAGTACAGATTCCAATACGAGATTTGTCTAGTTAAGTCATCAATATTGTAACAACCTAATCAAGTTATAGTAACGCCAGACTTATTAATTTACATTCCATGGTTAACTGGCAAAAATGTACTAGTTACTTAGTTAGTTAGATGTACACGTAAAGGCACAGTTTACTGCAACATTTAATTGGATAACAGGTTTGGACCATGTCGAGGTATAGAGGCGTTTTTAATTGCATTCCACACATTTGGAGCTGTCCGGTAATCCATTGTACGGCATTATGTTGGACTGCTGTAATAGGGCAATTCATAAAATTTATGGTAATAAATTTAAGTTTATTCATTTATATATTCTTCACAAACGGCCGCAAAATCATTAATTATTTTCACAGATAAATTACTGTTTACTCTGACGTATAGTACCCTGACGTATGGGATTGCATTTTTTTCCAATTCATCCATCCGAGTCTGACAAGAAAACACCAAATTAGGTATTTCAAACCATTACACTGCAATGCAGAATATGTTTCGCTCGTAAGTTCACTTCCGTTTGGAATTAACACTAATTACTGCGTAATCAAGAATTGTGGCTGAGGGTTATTGAGTGTTAACTTGTTGGCTTGTAGACCAGTAGAGCTTAGAAAAAAAGTGATTAATTCGGGGAATTTTACTCAAAAATGTTGAAGGATACTCACATATTTCTGACGCAGCCCTAGAATATTTCAAATACTAGAGCTTCTTTTGGAACAGACGTATCAGTAATTTCCAGTTAATCATTTCATATAATACAACGATAGAATATTGACTAACACTTTAGAATATTTAAGAAAAATAGTTTCGGGCAGCTACGCACCAGTGTTACAGTGCCGTAAAAGTATATTTCAAAACACAACTTGTCATTTACAGAAATTTGCGCAATTTGAAAGGTATCCTGGATGTTTCAACACCATTATATTTACCTATTAAAGTATAGTAAATACTGTATCAATCTCGAGGCATACTAATGATGGTATCATGGAACTTTGTGTTCCATCAACGTGACAATCTGAACTCAGCCTGCCGTGACACTTGTAAGGTAAATTCTGGAATTTAATCTTATCTCTACCTAAAATCTGCAGAGCGAATAAGGCTCTCAAAGGCTTCAATGCTGCAAACGCAGAGTGTGGCACCGTCACAACGCAGAGTGTGGCACCGTCACAACGCAGAGTGTGGCACCGTCACAACGACAGTTTCTGGGATTCTTGCGTTTTAAAGATAGTCTGATAGTCAGGCATGTGAAGATTTACTTCGCTCTGAACAGGAGGGGTAATCCTGTACATTCTTAAAATATGATAGTAGAAGATTGACAGTCGGGCACACTCTAGACTAAAAAGGTTTAACAAGCTTGCTATCTCGGTATTCCGGGGTGAAGGAAACAGGAAACATTCCACACAATGTGACAGTGTGACAGTATGCGCTACAGTGTGTGTTACACACGATATAGTCTGGTATGTAACATGTATATTGTATATGATGTGGTGGACTGCTCGTTTTCTCTGTGAAGTACCCATGCTAAGTATGATATATTTTTTTTATTTGAAAATTCAATTAATTATTATATATAAATCAAGCGTTCCATTTCAGCCATGCAAAATTACAATGACATATGTTGATAAACTAATTGATAAATGGAACTGCAATATAAGTTGCTTAATGTTTGGCCGGATGACAACTAACTGAAAGAGAAAAATAAACTTGATTACATAATAATTAATTCGGCTGAACCAACACATAGCAAGAGCCACATTAACGTTGGGGCCGTCTATGACAGAACACAATCGGCTGATTGGAGACCCCCACTGTAGTTCTACTTCAGAGACATGAATTTAATCAAACTTTCTATGATCTATCCCATACCGTATCTATCAGATGATGCCACTCACTTTCTAACTAGCAGTCAACATGCTTACCTGGAATAAAATTCGAGGAATTTAAATGCAGATTTAAAATTTGTCAAAGTTTGCAGTTGCAGAGTTAAATTACTCGCTACAAACTGTGAGATATCAGAGATATACTGATATAGAATGAATGGACAATTGTTGTGACTAGTATAATTGTACTGCCATGCATTGACAATTGTGAAATTTGAGTAATAATACTTTCCACAGAAAACTAGGAATAGCATTAGTGGAGACTGTAACTCTTGGATTATTACACGTGCTCATATGGCACGACTAGAAAAATGCCAATTTCCTGAATATTTCTGCGACTTTATCAGTCTCACGCCCTAAAATGTTATCTTTATGTCCTCATCCCGGATTAAGATTTGCAAGTTAGGGTTTTATTACAGTCGAGATCGCACCTGATAAGTCTTTTTCGCACTCTATTAGAAGAATTGCCTGACGGCATTTAGATTAGTAGATTAGAGTAACGGATAATCTGGAAAATTACCTGCTCCTTTTTGGTATAACTCAGTCTTGTGCTCAAAGAACGACATACTCATTATTCTTGTCGAAATTTAAGTAGGTCACAATATTTAATTAGCACTTAAAATCTTGATAAGGTTGCCGGGGCTCGTCTTTAAAGTACTTACTTTAAGTTTAGGTACTTGAGGAATAAGTCAATTAGGTTTTAAACATTCAAGTCTAACATTTTAAAAATACAAATTTAATGAGCCTCCACTTTAGATAAGGTATCTTTCAAAGATTTCCAATTCTGTTACTCTTGAAATTTTAAGAATTAATATCGTTAAACAATGAAAGATAACAACAGCCTTTACTTAAAATATAATGACAAGAAAACAAAAATAAATTTCAGTTGCCAGAGACTGTTCCCGAGTGAGGTGCTCCATACCCTCCCAGCCTCACTGTCCCCAGGACTCGCTAGTCCAGCGTGGGGAGGTCCTGTCCGGAGAGTGTTGTCCCCAACCGGACGTGTGTGTGTGTAACGAGTGCCGAGAGCGTGCGCAGTGTGACGGTACTTTCTTCAGAGCGCAGATGGTTTTTAGAGGGACTCAAACCCCTGGTCACTGTTGTGATGTGCACGAGTGTGTGGGTGAGTTAGTACAGTGTGCACGTGCGTTTGCGCAGTGTGCACGTGCGTTTGCGCAGTGTGCACGTGCGTTTGTGTAGTGTGCACGTGCGTTTGTGTAGTGTGCACGTGCGTTTGTGTAGTGTGCACGTGCGTTTGCGCAGTGTGCACGTGCGCGAAAATGTGTGGGTACGTCTGCAAGTCCGTCCGTGCGTATACGTGTCTGTGTGTTCATGTGGGAGGGCTGAAGATATGTCAGAATATGGTACCCACGTTAATATTTAATTAGTGCTGATACATAACACTGTCGGTGATATGAATGGTTCAAACGTTTTTACTCTTATAATTATGAAATTTGTACCTGTGCTGGAAAGCGGTGGGAACAAAGACCGATTTTATAAAATTATCCATAAATCAGACCGACTCATTAATTTCTGCGGTGTGCCCGTCTTAACTTGTCACATTTCGGTTACCGGACAACTGAACCCAATTACTTTCAGGGAGCTTATTTTACGGTGTAATGGAGGTTTATTGATTGCGTTGTATGGGTAAAAAGAGGACAAAGGGGACAAATATTGGGTGGATAAGTTGTAATCTTGATAAAAAACAGTGCTGTAGTTGAGCCTGTGGGAGGGTGAGGGATTAGAAAGAACTTCTGGGGATCATTTTAAGAAGATTTGAGGAATGCTGTCACGAGAGGCTAGACATTAAATTCCTTCGGTATAGAATTCCTCTACATTAATGATAATTTACTAAAAAATTAACAGTCGGATGGTCACCAACAAATATGACAGTGGTCCTTGGTGATGTTTGTCATGAAATTCCCGGAAATTCCTAATTGCATTGTTTGGTTTAAATATGTTTCTTATCGGCTGAAATTTAATTTGTCGCTGAAAGCGAACGGAAAATTGTGAATATTTTGTATTTTACGTAGAATAGAATGAGGGACAGGGTGAAAGTAGCGTGCGTAGAGGGACCAAATAGTTTCGATATTTCAAACTGTTTCAAATAACCACACAAAAGTTTCATATTTAAAATTTCACTTTTAAACTTTGGTCTTTAAAACAAAAGCAAAACCTCAGATCAAAAAATATAATTATCTGTGAAAATCTAATTATAACAGACAACAATGAGCATTTTGATAAAAATCAAAATTGTTCTGAAATTTTAGCCGCTTTAAACGTGATAAGTTTTAACACGACTCTTTCCATCCCAGACAACACAGGTAACCCTGACTGTAGCAAGGTATCGTGCCCGGAGATAACGTTTGAGTGCCCCTGGGACTCCCTTTACATACCCAGCCCCGACTCCAACTCCAGTAACAGGTAATTGAAGATATCAAGTAGAGCGTGTCACAATGCAGAAGTTTAATTATTCATTTTATATTTTATTATTCAGAAAGATATATTTTTGCGTAAATTTGTAATAAAGCTTGATACGAATATTTTTCAAAGAGTGACAATGATCTCGAAAAAAAATCTTATTGAACTTTTAAACTGTTATGCCCCCATTTATTTAGAATTAATCGCAACAATCTCTGTTAATGTGGGGGAGTAAATGTGAGTAGGGGGATTTATTTTAAATTGTAGACAAATTATTACATTTTAAAATACGTATCAATAGTATTCGAGTCTCATCAAGGGTGGAGAAGGGTGGAGATGCCACATGATGTTAATGCCGTTGCGACTAATCAGCTCCGCGCTTGATACTACCTGGTGTTACAACATACCCACTCATAAACACATCGGCCAAAATAGAACCAGTTATTGGTCAAAGTAGTGGTGAAAAATTATGTAATCGGGTTAATGAAATTTGGAGGCGATAAGAATAGCCATGTTTTACGGGGAGAGCGCTGACGATCGTGACGTCACAGTCCCAGTAACCAGACCACTTTTAGCTTCTTTTTAAATTAGTTCTATTTTTACCGCTACATGTCTAACACGTCCATCATTAGCAGTCGAGTTGTGTGTCCCCCACTCCTCGTAACTTACCTGGGGACCCCAGTGTTTTATACATGAAATATTGGAGTGACAGGGTGAGTGCCGCCCAGTATCCGGTTAAGTAACCGGCAGTTATTTTCAGTTGCTGCAAGATTCCAGGCCGGTGCGAGTGCGACCACACAAGGTGCAGCGATGTAGTGTGTCCGGCTAAGTACACCAAGAAACTACAGTCCGCCGCGGAGAACATGCCTGGAAAGTGCTGTGACATCTTCGAGTGTGTGCCAGGTAAGCTGTGGGGAGGGGATGCACGTGTGCACTTTGATTTGTACCATTTGCTCCATGTCTTTGAAATGTGGTGACAAAGTAGTTTGTAACATTCTGATAGTCTGTTAGTGTTAAATGAACACACTACCCACTGTATGATTTCGGACCCTACAATTCTCGGCAGTATCGAGATAGCCCGACCACGGTCCGCGGACCACTGTCCGCGGACCACTGTCTGCGGACCACTGTCTTAAAGGCGATATGTCTTAAAGGCGATATGTATCGTGATATGTATCGTGATATGTATCGTGATATGTATCGTGATATGTATCGTGATATGGATCGTGATATGTATCCTGATATGTATCGTGATATGTATCGTGATATGTATCGTGATATGTATCGTGATATGGATCGTGATATGTATCCTGATATGTATCGTGATATGTATCGTGATATGTATCGTGATTTGTATCGTGAATCGAGTTAGTGAGCTTGAAAACGAAAGTTACTATTAATAAACTCAAATTGAATTATTTTTGCATATATTATAATAATATAATAAAGTAATAAGGTCTGATTACTGATACGGTTCAACGAAACTAATCTTATTTTCTATCGTGATATGTCCCTAAATATAATGATATTCATTCCAAATTTATCCAATCCTGCACGAAGTAAGGACTAAGTTAAATTTAATCTATAGAACTAATAAGACTTAGCTGGATTCCAAAGAATCTTACCTCTGAGCCACTAAGTTCCTTGCTTTTTTAATATTCTAGAATGATTTGCTTGAACAGAATATAATTATTATATTTCCAGCTCTGTATAAAGCTTTATTTTTTCACGTAAAAGATTCTAAATCAAGAAATACATTATGAATACATATATATTATATAACGCTTGATTGATTTTGGACACGAAGGGAAACACACAAATTTGGCTTGGAAACTTCGTTTATTACATCGCTAGAGCCTACAAAAAAGAAATAAATTAGTCAGATAAAATCAATCATAATACTCAGTCAAAGAGATTCAAAAATTTATAAAAAGGTCATGATTAGAGAATATCATGAAAGTCGATCAGAAATTGGAATACGATAAAATTGTTTCACTGATAGCGTGGTAGATAAAATTTATAAAGAAAAATGACGCAAAATTGGCACAAAATTGTTAAAATTAATTAATTACAGATATTGGTAAAAACCACAAAAAAACTACCTTTTAATTTCCATCCTATTTAAACCCCAAACATTAGTTCTAAACTTTGCACAAAATCTAGCCTCTTCCCTATCTAATAGGGAAGGTTTAGTCTTTTTCACAATCCCGAATTTGAAACAGTCAAAACTGAAAGTGTCCTTGTGTACATCGTAACAATGCATTGATAAGGCTGAGTGCTCGTAGAGGGCACGGTCGTCAATGTTGAACTTGTTCCGGTGCCCATTGAGCCTAATGTGGAATGGAGTCAACGTCTGCCCAAAGTAAGTGTCCTCAGATCCCTCAATAGCCCTACACTGCTGGCATTGTGCAACGTAAATAATGTGCTTATCTTTGCACGTGAGGGATTCGTCTAGATTAAGCTCCATGCCGTTGACCATGATCTTAGAGTCAAGATCGAACAATACCGGGCAAGTCTTGCATCCAGGGGCTGAGCACTTCTGTGATGTTTTTTGGGGACATTCAGCCTTATTTCCAAGTTGTCGATTCTTCACTACCCTGTTTCCGATTGAAGGATGTTTTCGTGTGGCAAATATCACACGTATATCTCCACATATCCTCCTGATGTCCGGTCCAAGTTCGTGAATCAACTTCTTCAGCTGAATGTTGTCCGAAGAGTGTTGTACTGAAAAGACTAAGTTATCAGCGTTCTCACTCTCCTTAGACCTGTTGGCTCCGTGGGTGTTCTCCAGTACTCTGACAACTGCTCTCGGCTCGATCTCCTCTAACTTAACGCTGTTATGTCCGCTTTTAGATAAATCTGCTTTCAGCTCCATTAAGTCTTCTACACAGGTTGAGTCTTGCGAGTTCCTTTCTATGATTCGTATCATCTGGGAAAACGCCACAGATTCGAATACATGGTGAGGATGAAAGCTATCCGTTCGCAAGTAATTCCTAGCATCTGTCTCCTTTCTGTAGAGTCTATATTGGATCTGGTTGTAAGTATCCAAGGTTAGAGTGATGTCAAGGAAATTAACAGTTTTACCGATTTGTTGGTCAGCAAATCTGATTCCAAATGGTTCTGCCAGTTTGTTCAGTTGCTCCACGAATAGATTGAACTGTCGGACTGTTCCTAACCACACCCCAAGTACATCATCAATAAATCTCCTCCAGAGGTCTACCAAACTCCAGTTTTTCATCTTTCCTTTGATCTGTTTAAACAATAGCCAATGCATCGTCACATCTGCCACTTGTCTTGAGATACAATTTCCCGTCGGGATACCCTCCTTGTTAATGTATCCCTCTCCCTGATAAGTGACAAAGGACTCCCGGAAAATCAGGTCAGTGAACTCATGCAAAGCCGCTTTTAGCTCTTGTGAGAAGTTGGTATCACTATTGAGGGCATCCTCAAGAGCAGTAAGCGCTAGTTCAGGCCTGATGCTAGGATATAATGCTGCCACGTCTAGAGTAAAGAGCTGCAAGTTTCTAGAAGCGCCCTTTAGCGTCTCCTTGTTGTAGCTGTTGATCTGAGAAATAATGTCTGGGGTATCCAAGATGAACTCCTCCTCACAGTATTTTCTGCTGATCTGAGTGACGTACGGGCTCACAAACTTCTCTAAACGATAAAGGGGCCCTCCTTTAGTTGCGTGAACTAATCTGACAGGTGGTATAGTCTTTGCCTCGATTTGTTCTTGAGATAGTTTGTGAACCTTGTATAAAGGGTACGCATATGGTATTTCAGGGCGGATTTCAGGTGCGTGGACCATGTTCCCCTTGTCATTTATACCTGTGATTCGCTTCTTTACCTCCTCAGAGATGATGTTCAGATGATGATGTTTGAGGACTGCTTCCTTCACTTTCAATTGAGTCTGCTCCATTTTCACTCCTACACTTATCTCCAATTTTGTAAATTTTGTCTCCTTCTCCAGTTCAGATTTAACTGTATCCATCACGGTCCTATAGTCCAAAAGCAGCGTAGCTCCACCTTTGTCCGCACTCGTGACGAATATACTTTGATCCTCTATTGATTTCAAGACCCAGCCCTTTCCTCTCTGTTCGGCATCAGTAAGGTTTGAATGTGGTTCGTCAGGATTTGGGTTTGTGACGAATCCCGTCAATCTTGTTTTGATTTCATCGAACAGGGGATGACTGTAGTCTTGCGGATGCCTTCTAGACCGTAGTCGCAAATCCTTGTGGATATCTTCAGTATCACCGGCTGTATCTGTTTGGGTTTGGTGGAAGTATGCTTTCCATTCCATCTTTCGCAGGAACTCTTTAACGTCAAAGAGTAAATCTTCTTTTGCTACTGGTCTACTCTCAACAAAGTTGAGACCTTTTGCTAAATACATGTACGCGATGTCCGGTACTTCTTGTGAAGAAAGGTTTATAACCAATTTACCCTTGATGTTCCGTTCCACATGGTTTTTCATCCACTCAACCTTTTTGGCGGCTTTTGATGCACGATATTTCTTTCTTTCCGCTCCTCTTTGGTCAGCATTCCGTTTCCGTTTGCTGATCCTGTTAGTGTTGGGTTGAGGATGAGAGTTTTGGCGCTCTTGTTTTGCCTTATCAAGATGGAATTTGACTTTCTTGTCCGCATATAACGCATTATTTCACCGGATTAGTACATCCATATTTAATATAAGTACAAGTATTAGTATATGATCGACGACGAAGTTTTCTTATTTCCATGTGGTCTTTACTACATTTCCAATTATTTGTAATCTCACTTATTTATTAAAGAATAAGTTAACACCATATTAATTAGTGAATACAGGTCTTTGACCATTAGTAGTCACTAGTCATTGGTTTAAGTAATCACGCCGGCGAACTCTGCACTGGTTGTTGGTATTCAATGTAAGCTTACTGAATTTTTTATTACAAAAATTAATTTATAGCAAGCTTAGAATTCTTTACTGTATTGTAACAAAGTAATATTAATAATTACTTTAACTTACTATAAATAGTAAGGAATTGCCCGACGTAATCTTACTATATATAAAGTGAGACGATATATATATATATTTATTTATATATCCGTACCATTTTACTGATACCACGGCATCAACTTTAACACGACTTTCCGCAAAATCCGTAAAAGATATACAGCTAAAACTTTTTTGACTGGTGCAAATGCTTTAATGGCCTTCAAATCAGCATGAAGAAATAAAAAATTGGCTAAGGAATAAGAATTTTAGTGCCCAAAATTTGGACCCCCAAGTGGTGTAAAAACGCGAATTAAATAGGTAATAATTATTTTAGTCTCTTGAGTATTGACACCACTTTAGAGTTAAACGGGTTCCTGTTAGTACTATTAGAGTGCGAGACAATTCAAGACTTGCAAAAAATGTTTGTTTAGACTTAATAAATAATATTAACTATAACCCACGCACCGTCCCCAGACGAAGGGCCCTCAGATGTATGTGTAGACCCTCAAACCGGTCTCAAATACGACAGTGGTGAGTTCTGGCAGCGCGACCCGTGCACTCCCTGCACATGCTTTAGTGGCGCGCCACAGTGCTATAACAACCCCTGCCCACGTGCGACCTGCGCTAATCCTGTCAAGATGGAGAATGAGTGCTGCCCCAGATGCCCTGGTATGTTTTACTGTATTTACTATTTACTGTAATTAAATTTATAATTATCTATAAGATTTATGTAAAATTCTATTGGGGCCCATCGCGGGTTTACAACTCAACAGTAAACATAACTTCTGTGGTTGCTCTCCACTCACTTTTCAAGCTGATCATTAATCACAACTCTGTGATAATTCATAAACGTGTTACCAGCTGAATTGTAATTTGTCGATATTAATCAAAGATATTTGTCGGCCCCGAGCTTCAGTTTAGCGTGACTGGTAAAACTAAAGATGTAAAGTTGTGCGTGATTTATTACAAAAGTTCTGATCGAATCGTTGACAAGCACTTTTAATCTTACCGCTCCAATAAGCTTTTCGACAGTTACAAAAGTCGTAAATGTCAGAAGTAATTTTAGGACCATGTTTTAAAATCAGTAGCGCAATGATTAACGATTCTTTTCTTTTCAAGTTTTTAAAACTTCTAAATTTACGATGCTTAATTTTTTGCAATCGATATATCGTTATATATATATTGTTTGAAAAATATATTGATTAATAAAAACATGGGTATCATGGATTACCAAAGTAATCTAATTTATTTTCGAACGATTGGACTGGAACGAAACTCTGTGTTCAAGACAACATCCAGTAATATGAAATATATATCTAATCGAATCAAATAGGGCCTACAAGACCGCAGACCTAATCACTGTCCCGAATTAGAGTTATTATCAGGTGGGAATGTTCCACCCTGCTCCTAACGACAGGTCGGATACAAATATTCGCGTTTAAACCTGAGATCCTGAGAATATGAGCTAAATTCAAAATTATATTTCAACCACAAAGAAGAGGTCTGGTTACAGTGGATACATTGTTGCAGCGTTTGTTTTAGGATTTATAGAAAATAACCAACATATCAACCCTCCTGCTGGTATACTCACATCTGACAAACACTAAATAGCTCAGTGATGTTTTTAACTACTGAGACAAATTTCATTATCACTATATCATTTAGTAATTACCATTCAATTATGATTGTTATTCTGTTAAAACCTTTGGACCCACGTACTCAAGTTTATTTTCTATTCCATGGAATTCTGTAAATGAGATCGAATGAGCATCGGACGATAACAGTCCACAAATAAATCCTGGCAGTTATCACTAATGATAAATCCAATCCAAATTATAGACGTGAAAATTGATCAATTAACAGATCCAGTGTTAATGAATTGTGTAGCAAACCCCACCCTTTTCTCACTCCTCCTCCGAGGAATGTACAATTTACTGCTAACACCATTTATTTTTTAAAAGTACTAAAACACCAATTATCAGGGTCTACCTGAAAATAAAAATGTCGTATCAGACAGTGTATTCATTCTTGAGCTGTCTAGATTTAACTATTTAAGATAGAGTCCAGTTTATGAGCGTACTTATCATCCCGTCCTTGATGAGTTCATCAGAATTCTGGTTAGTGGTCTGATATAACCTCAGTCAAATGATAAGACCAATAATCACCTCCCTCTAATTCTAAAATCGAATTAAGTGGTGCTATCTACTGTATAATACGGCAAATTTGAAGGTACACGGTATATCAGTTATAGGGTTTGAAAGTAGCCTGGTAGCCGGATTTGATACGTCAATAATCACCTAGATGGTGCTTAAAGACTTAATTCTACATTAATTGTATGGTTTAAAATTACAGTAGCCCTGAAGATATGTTTAGTTCGGGGGCATTACTGTGGTAGTCTCCGAACATTCCAGTCTATTACCATTCACTCAAATTGTCATATCTGTAGCTGGACAAACACAGCACGCAGCTACAAAAATCTAAAATAAAGCTATAAAAATTCAAAATAAAGTCAGTAAAAAAGTCACGTCCCAGTAAGAAGAATGTTCTGGTAAGAATGTCTCGCATACCAAATAAACCTGACAGTTTTAACTTAGTGATCTAATCGACAGATAAACTGTAGCTCCTGCAGCATGAGATCATTACTGTAAAACCCTCTACCTAAAGAGACTTCACGGGTTTCGCGTGCTCTGGCGGTCAGTGGTCAGCCCAAGTTGTTATGAATCTCTACATCTACTTTTGATAGTAGCTGCCATAAATAATTCCCCCTTGTAAGGTCCAACAGACCAGCCTTCCCACGTACGTTTAACTCTTCTAGGAAGTCCACAAGTGCGCGGCTGGTAATGAGGTTGTTGTATTGAACAGCTGGTCTCCCCTCATTTTCCACCAAGGTTTCCCTCTCCTGTGTCGACAGCTTTCTTGCTGTTATTGTTGGGGTATTATCAAGCATTATTATCACCATTAATTTCCAATCAGAACACATTTTCTGGTGGTATTCTCATCTTTGCCATATGAAAAACGTTCACAGTGCTAATGACTACGCCTACAAAATAAAAAATATTATGATATGACTCATAGTAAATAAACTTTGAGATGATAATTCTGGACTTTTAGATGATAGTTCTGATAACTTTGTTTTATCAACTTATTGTTCTGACAAAGTTATCAGAACTATCATCTAAAAGTTATAAATAACTTTTTTAAATAAAAATATTGTGATATGACTCATAGTAAATGAATTTTAAAATAATAATTCTGGACTTTTATATGATAGTTCTGATAACTTTGTTTTATTAACTTATAAGTTAATAATTGTTGTGCCAATTTAAGGGGGCCGGGGGGGTCTTCATCAAAATTCTCTCGAAATTGATTTTATAGTTGTTTCTGATAGAGGGGAGTGAAAAACCTCGGTCAAAGGTCAGAGGTTTTTTCAGGGTGATTGCTCAAAAAATGTAGGAGAAGATAGATTTTTAGACTCGATTTTCAGGGCGCGCAATTGAAAACCGCTCGCGCACTACAATTACACATAAGCGCTGACCTTTGACCGGCGATAATTTCGGCTAGGAACAATATTTTTCCATCGGACCAAAAGCAGCTGATAGATATCGCTCCACTCTATCAGAAACAACTAAAAAATCAATTTCGAGAGAATTAATTTTGTTGAAGACCCCCGGGCCCCTTAACTTATAAGTTAATAAAACAAAGTTATCAGAACTATCATCTAAAAGTTATAAATAACTTTTTAAAAATAAAAATATTGTGATATGACTCAGTAAATAAATTTTAAGATATAATAATTCTGGACTTTTATATGATAGTTCTGATAACTTTGTTTTATTAACTTATAACTTGTGAAACGTTTTTAAAGATAATTAAAATTTCCCGCAGCTAGCAACCAATATGGTTTCAGGCCTGTTATTATGGGGCCTGTCCAGTGTAGGGCTCTTCAAGCATTACTCTTAGATTTCAGCTGATAGTTTAAATAACTTTGTTTTATAGCATAATGCTGACAATTAAAACTCCCCTCCCAGATGAAGAACAGTGCGGTGCATTCAAATGTGATCTGGACTGCAGTGCCGGGTACACTCTCGACTCAAGGGCATGTCCTCTGTGTCACTGTCAGAACGATTCAACCTGCCCTAAACTCAACTGTGAAAAAGACTGCCTCTTTGGATTCAAGGTCAGTTTGTGAGTTTTAGGACATGTACAGTTTAAATATGTTATCGCTCGATGTGATACGTGGGTAACAACCCACATACCACAACTTGGAATAGCAATGCAATGGCCGGTAATCGAATTGACCCACTTTTAATTGTAAGACCAAAGGATAATCAGCGAAATTAATCTTTTCCTTGAACTCTAAATACAGTCCAGTCCAGTGCTACCCATTTATTTATGTTCACTGAACGGCAGTGAACTCCTGACTTTATAATCTTACTTTCTGTGGAAGGCCCTCGTTAAATGAAAATCGCTGACAAACTTGATGAAGGGTGGGGATATCACTTTGAACAAAATATGATATCGAGAGGAAATAGTGTTGGAAACGATATAACTAGAATTTGCAAGTTTTCCATAGACTAGGTGCTGAGTGCTGAAAGATATAATCAACATTTCATACCACGATATAATATCCTGATGGAATACTTAACACTGTAATATCCTTTGGTAGGAGCGGTTATAAAACATAAACGTCAGGGTGTGAGGGTGTGTTCGCCAGGCTCTCTCTCTCTTAGAAAATAGATACTGTCACATGTGCAGCAATCAGAGAGGTGTTAAGAAAGTTAACTTTGAGTAGCTTCTGGGTAAACTTAGAAGTTAGTTAACATTTAAAAACGACAAGATGTCTCAGATGTTTTGACTCCAGACTAACTAGGTGGCTAGTTGGTTAACGCCTGATTTCGGATAAGTATTTGGAGGGGGTCCCGGGGTCTGGCCATCGTCCCGACCAGATCTTGTTGTGATTCTCATGCATTTTTGGACGCTTTTCTGGGAAATTGATGGCCTTTTAACATGCGTGACCGGAAGCGGGGAAGCAGACTGGTGAAGGTGAAAGTAGTAGTGTGGAAAAAAGGAATACAGACAGGGGAAAAAAAGGAATACAGACAGGGGGAAGGTAGGGTGAGGACAGGGGAAGGTAGGGTGAGGGCAGGGGAAAAAAAGGAATACAGACAGGGGGAAAAGGAATACAGACAGGGGGAAGGTAGGGTGAGGGCAGGGTGGGTGGAGTATTTGTATGCCTTTTAAGTGCCTGGCAAATTACCAAGATGAAACACATAATTGAAGAAGATAATGTTAATCTGATTGAATTGGTAGATAAGAAGATTAACTTGTTAGGATCGAATTTGCTGAAGTAGTATTATTACAAGGGGGGCCCTTATTTCATATTACCTATTTTATCAATTATTTGTAAAGTAACCCAATAAGTAACCAAATAAGTAACCAAATAAGTAACCAAATAAGTAACCAAATAAGTAACCAGATCCCCCTCCACAGACAGGCAGTGATGGTTGTGAGAAGTGCGAGTGTCACACCTGCCAGGACAACATGAAGCACTGCACCCTGTCTTGTGGGTACGGGTTTGAGAAGGACACCAGGGGGTGTACTCTCTGCAAGTGCAAGAAAGGTGAGCTTTCTTTATATTTAAATATACAAAAATACGAGTAGACTATTTTCTTTAAACTTGCTGACGACTTTCCGTCAAAAATGTTTTAATAGTTGATGTTTTAAAGTCTTATTTTGGATTTGAAACAAACGAGCTTCTTTGAACTTGACTTTTAAAGAATTTTGAAAGATTTTAAAATTTATTAAATCTGTGGTTTATTTCCAGATAGTTTTGGGTCTACAATGCCACCAGAGAGAAGTAGGTGCTACGAAAACGGTGAAATCCACGAGGAAGACGACACGTGGCACCCAAACCACTGCACTAGTTGCACGTGCTACAGTGGTCAGTGTTTACTTCTTTTGTTTACTAATATTAGTTGATTTATGAGTGTTAGTATTTGTTAAGTTGTAAGCAAAAACCGGAAGAAAGAAACCGGAAGACTGACAAATCGACAAAAATGTGAGACATTTCCAAAGAATAGGCCTAATTGACGACAAAAACCAGAATATATTTTCCCTTATTATACTAATAAAGCAATATTATGTTTTTACTAGCATGTTTACATCCGAGTCCTCCTCGGTCTTTAGTCACTACTCCAACCAGCTCCAGGAAGTAGAGATCTCGCTCCCTAGCAATCAGCTCCGTCGTATACGACCATCTTGAGCTGCTCTCCTGCTTCTCTCTCTCTCTTGTTATTGTAGGCTTCTATAACTTTAGTGTTATCACGGTTCTATAGGGCGTGTCCCTTTGATGACTGAAGAGACTTGTATTGTTGTGGAACACAACAAGAAAATTGAGAATAATCTTGTGCGAGGGTAGGGACCCAGATGTCGTTTCTAACCCAAATAAACTTTAAGGAGGCTTCTCATCAGTAGCCGCACCTCCTTACTCGGTTTCTGAACTGGAATTCTATGGGCTTCCAGACGGCCAGACCGAGTATTACCACCCCATCCTTCTAGAGTTCATCACAAGTAGCACCCACCTTGAAGATCTTTGACACCCAGACACACCCCATTGGCGAACAAACTTTGGATGTAATCTTACATGCTCCCGAAGGAATCCCTGGTTTATGGTCTTTCTCATCGTCACCAGCACTTTCACTAGAGTCACCAGCCCTTTCACTGGAGTCATCAGCCCAATCACTGAAGTATACAGAAGTATAGTTGTGGAAGACAACAAGAAAATTGAGAATAATCTTGTGCGAGGGTAGGGACCCAGATGTCGTTTCTAACCCAAATAAACTTTAAGGAGGCTTCTCAATAGTATTATAATTATATAGTTTACTGCAAATAGTGAAATAAAATGACCACTCAACGCTCAAGCATCCTTTTGTCACAGTTAACCCGGACATTAGTCAAGCTAGTCATATGCCAAGAATTTACGCTTTTCTATAGAAGAACAGATCTATTATTAAGTTATCATTAACGTATATCCTGCACTAACTGTTTGCTTTCTGATGAATTGTCGTCTTTTGTAACATATTTACGTCGCCTCCCGACCGGTAGAAACGCCCATTGTTCACAGTTTTTGGCTAAAATACTGTTTCTCCTCAGGAAGGTCAGTTTGCTCGTTCATTGACTGTGAACACCTACTGGGATGTAAGAACACTGTTACTCTGCCCAAGACTTGCTGTCCCGTCTGCAAAGGTAAGAGACTTCCATACTCCATAGAGCTCTGAAAATCTTGATGTTCTGTTATTGTTAAGTTACGTTGACATATTATGTTGAAATATGTTGAATTCTGTAGATGTGATCCTGTTGAATAATAATAGTAATATGTTGACTTATATGGACTTGTGTTGACTTATGTTGACTAAAGTTGAATTAAGTTGAGTAATATTGACTTATGTTGACTTAATATGTTGACTTAATATGTTGACTTAAGTTGAATAATATTGAGTAATATTAAGTTATTTACCACAGAGCATTGTTAAACATTGTAGTTCCACATGATGGATAAATAGTGACAAACAACACGCATTCTTTTAAACACTTCTCACATAAAGCGAGGGCTATTGGCACTCCCAGCCTATAAATAGGAACCTAACCTGCCCACTCCCAGCCTATAAATAGGAACCTAACCTGCCCACTCCCAGCCTATAAATAGGAACCTAACCTGCCCACTCCCAGCCTATAAATAGGAACCTAACCTTGGCTGCCCACTCCCAGCCTATAAATGGAAAACCTAACCTACTGAGTATTGGCACTCCCACCCTATAAATGGAAAACCTAACCTACTGAGTATTGGCACTCCCAGCCTATAAATAGGAACCTAACCTACTGAGTATTGGCACTCCCAGCCTATAAATAGGAACCTAACCTACTGAGTATTGGCACTCCCAGCCTATAAATAGGAACCTAACCTACTGAGTACTGGCACTCCCAGCCTATAAATAGGAACCTAACCTACTGAGTATTGGCACTCCCAGCCTATAAATGGAAAACCTAACCTACTGAGTATTGGCACTCCCAGCCTATAAATAGGAACCTAACCTACTGAGTATTGGCACTCCCAGCCTATAAATGGAAAACCTAACCTACTGAGTATTGGCACTCCCAGCCTATAAATAGGAACCTAACCTACTGAGTATTGGCACTCCCAGCCTATAAATAGGAACCTAACCTACTGAGTATTGGCACTCCCAGCCTATAAATAGGAACCTAACCTACTGAGTATTGGCACTCCCAGCCTATAAATAGGAACCTAACCTACTGAGTATTGGCACTCCCAGCCTATAAATAGGAACCTAACCTGCCCACTCCCAGCCTATAAATAGGAACCTAACCTTGGCTGCCCACTCCCAGCCTATAAATGGAAAACCTAACCTACTGAGTATTGGCACTCCCAGCCTATAAATGGAAAACCTAACCTACTGAGTATTGGCACTCCCAGCCTATAAATAGGAACCTAACCTACTGAGTATTGGCACTCCCAGCCTATAAATAGGAACCTAACCTACTGAGTATTGGCACTCCCAGCCTATAAATAGGAACCTAACCTACTGAGTATTGGCACTCCCAGCCTATAAATGGAAAACCTAACCTACTGAGTATTGGCACTCCCAGCCTATAAATAGGAACCTAACCTACTGAGTATTGGCACTCCCAGCCTATAAATAGGAACCTAACCTACTGAGTATTGGCACTCCCAGCCTATAAATAGGAACCTAACCTGCCCACTCCCAGCCTATAAATAGGAACCTAACCTGCCCACTCCCAGCCTATAAATAGGAACCTAACCTTGGCTGCCCACTCCCAGCCTATAAATGGAAAACCTAACCTGCCCACTCCCAGCCTATAAATAGGAACCTAACCTGCCCACTCCCAGCCTATAAATAGGAACCTAACCTGCCCACTCCCAGCCTATAAATAGGAACCTAACCTTGGCTGCCCACTCCCAGCCTATAAATGGAAAACCTAACCTACTGAGTATTGGCACTCCCAGCCTATAAATGGAAAACCTAACCTACTGAGTATTGGCACTCCCAGCCTATAAATAGGAACCTAACCTACTGAGTATTGGCACTCCCAGCCTATAAATAGGAACCTAACCTACTGAGTATTGGCACTCCCAGCCTATAAATAGGAACCTAACCTACTGAGTATTGGCACTCCCAGCCTATAAATAGGAACCTAACCTACTGAGTATTGGCACTCCCAGCCTATAAATGGAAAACCTAACCTACTGAGTATTGGCACTCCCAGCCTATAAATAGGAACCTAACCTACTGAGTATTGGCACTCCCAGCCTATAAATAGGAACCTAACCTACTGAGTATTGGCACTCCCAGCCTATAAATAGGAACCTAACCTACTGAGTATTGGCACTCCCAGCCTATAAATAGGAACCTAACCTACTGAGTATTGGCACTCCCAGCCTATAAATAGGAACCTAACCTACTGAGTATTGGCACTCCCAGCCTATAAATGGAAAACCTAACCTACTGAGTATTGGCACTCCCAGCCTATAAATAGGAACCTAACCTACTGAGTATTGGCACTCCCAGCCTATAAATAGGAACCTAACCTACTGAGTACTGGCACTCCCAGCCTATAAATAGGAACCTAACCTACTGAGTATTGGCACTCCCAGCCTATAAATAGGAACCTAACCTACTGAGTATTGGCACTCCCAGCCTATAAATAGGAACCTAATAGGGCTATTGAGTACTGGCACTCCCAGCCTATAAATAGGAACCTATTAGGGCTACTGAGTACTGGCACTCCCAGCCTATAAATAGGAACCTAACCTACTGAGTACTGGCACTCCCAGCCTATAAATAGGAACCTAACCTACTGAGTACTGGCACTCCCAGCCTATAAATAGGAACCTAACCTTGGGTGCCCACTCCCAGCCTATAAATAGGAACCTAATAGGGCTATTGAGTATTGGCACTCCCAGCCTATAAATAGAAAACCTAACCTAAAATTACCAGCTTCACTGTCGGGAGTGCTGTGCTCTAATTACCTGCACGTTCCACTGTAATTATAATATTGATTAACAGGACTCAATGTGTGGTATTTCTAGTTAATTTGGAACCAATTTCTCGGTATAATGCTGGAATTAATGAACGTAGATGTTATTTACACAATGGATAGACTGACTGCTAAAACGAAAATATTCCTTAAAATTGCTAAAAGTGGCTATAATAATAATGCCACTGCCAGCCATTCTGCCAGCCATTCTGCCAGCCATTCTGCCAGCCATACCGTATACTGCATCATACTGTGACAATGATATAATGTATCAGCGATATACTGGCTCAATAATATAAGTTATGTAATATGTTAAATGTTATACTATATAATATTTAAGATCTCTACGTGATCGTCTAGCAGTCAACATGGACACTTGAAGCCACGTGATGTATAGGTTTCACTTTTGCTGGAATAAGAATTGGTTCTGTTTCGCTTTTTGGTGGAATGAGGATTTGTCCTGTGTAATAAAACAAAATTGTAAAGTATTACTCCCGAATAAGTTAGTTTTTATGTGAGTAAAGAATGTTGATGAAAAGGTCAGGGTTAGAGTGGCGTGACTAATCAGGCAGGTGGTATTTCCTGTTAAAAATAAAACATTCATATCATACTTGACATACCAGTATAATGTAGACCACACGGTCACGGACCTTCTAATTAGATTTGTCTTTAACAAGGAACAAATTAATTAGATCGGCTAGCACAGTCCTGAAACGGGTTGAATTTCCACCGGAATTTACGTTGAAACTCACATGTTAAATATTTGTTAAAAAGTGTAAAATTCCTAACATTAATTAGCTGGCATGGTGGGCATATCTTGAGATATGCCCATAACTTCACTGATCGTGTCCCTGAAGTTACCTTTACCAACTTAGAGGGCTGTTATATCAAATTTCGCAACTTCCAGTCATGACAGTAACTCTGGTATCTAATATAGCATTTTAAGCGATAACTTGTCACGTATAATTCGTGGGAACAAAGTGTTACGATCTGTTATGTAGAGCACATTTAAGCACAATATGTTAAAGTTATAGCGGATATTTTTAGATAAGTTTACTTGTGTTTCAAATCTTATAGGCTATTGAGCTTCACACAAGATATCCTAGATTTACACGCTCCGTAAAATATGTTTTCTAATGAGTTTAAACCAACCCCGCCTCCCCCTCCCCCCCCCCCCCTTCCTCCCCCCTTTCCTCCCCCCTTTCATCCACCCCTTCCCCTTCCTCCGCCCTTTCTCCCCCCCCCCCTTCCTCCTCCTTCCTCCCCACCCCCCTTCCTCCCCCCTTTCCTCCCCCCTTTCCTCCACCCCTTCCCCCTTTCTCCCCCCCTTTCTCCCCCCTTTCTCCCCCCCCCCTTCCTCCCCCCTTTCTCCCCCCCCCCCTTCCTCCCCTTCCTCCCCCCTATGTCCCCCTTCCTCCCCCCTTTCTCCCCCCTTTCTCCCCCCCTTCCTCCCCCTTTCTCCCCCCCTTCCTCCCCTTCCTCCCCCCTTTCTCCCCCCTTCCTCCCCCCTTTCTCCCCCCCTTCCTCCCCCCTTTCTCCCCCCCCCCCCCTTCCTCCCCATATTTTCGCTAAATAAGCTAATGTCAGAGGTATCCGTTATGCTTATTTGAATATATGGAATGATTTTTAACATTCTTTACAATACCTGTACAGTAACACAACATTTCTATACAGCTATTTTACACGCCTAATTTGAATACCGTTTTAGGTATTCCGAAATAACTCTGCAAATACCAACGTTTTCCAATCCTCCAACTTTTTACCTTACACATAGTAAGGTATAATCAGTCACAGTAAGATATCTCTATCTCGCTTTCCAAGAAAAACGACCTAATTCTGGGTCAAATTCCAATCTCATCTTATTCAGTAAGAAGATATATGTTGACAGTGTTGTGAAATTATACGCCTTCTTTCAATGCACCCCTCTTTTCATTTTTGGCTACATTCCAACTTGAGATAAGATCAACATAATAGTCTGCATTTCTGTATCCCATGAAATATTTTAAGTCCTGAAATTCCTCGTTTGGTATGCAGATTCTCATCGCTCACAAACGTAAAAAGTATGCGCAGAAGATTATAAAACCTGGCTTCACTGCCCTTAAAATTTTAATCATCTCATATCTCCTCTGACTTACCATGTAAGGCAACAAATCCTTCGTTATTGATAAATT